ACAGACATTAAAAATGAAGCAAAGTGTTTGCACATATTTCCATTAGGCAAAAAGCAGGCAAGATGCCGCTTTTCTAAGCCGCTTCTATCCAAACCATTCAGCACAATATCGGAATGAAAAATGACAACACTTTGTCATCTGTTCAAATTGATATTGCACTCTTTGCAGTGACAGCTGAAAAGGCCCACAGGTGCCATATAAAGAGGTGACCATGTTGTCATATTTCATTTAGGCATCCCTCTGCAAAGCCATAATTACCTAATTAGGTTGTTAATTAGGAGATTAGCATTTCACTATATTGATAGAATGCTCTTTGCGGGCGTGAGTCTAGATACAGATTTGTCTGCCCTAATTTATAATCTCTGCCTTTTTTTGTACTTATTTGTTTGCTCAAAATCTTCATGCAAGATAGCTCAGGTTAGCTGGGAACCAACTTGTTTACGGTTAAACAAAGATTTGACAAGATCGGGAAACAAACGGAGGAGAGTGTACAGCTCCCGCCCATACTCCGATATTCTCTCCCTCCTTCCCTAAAGCTCAATAATTAAAGTATCAGAGTTGGTATAATTTGCATCCTGATTAGTATGACAACAAAAATACAGCCAAATTCCAAGCAGCTCATAAATACAGAAATACACAACTAATGCTAGATTGATTTACAGGTTTGAAAACTGACAAATGATTTGTTGAAAGTTGTGTGTAATGTAGTGTTTTCTCATCATAACTTTCAGACTCCAGTTCTACCTGTGAAAGAACCTCTTTAAATGATTATTTCCTTTCTAATGATAGGAACCGAAGCATGAGTGACAGCTTCTCTAGATAAGTAATCATTCCTAAATGCACTTGAGCTTTTGTTGAAATGTAAACTTGAATTTTCATATATTGCGGTTCGCTTTCCTTTATCCTGCACGCACAGGAGTCTCTCTGGCATTCAAGGGTTTTGATTATTTGTACTGCTGCAAATGTAGATAACCTGAACCATTTCTTTTGCAGTTGCAGACAGAAGTTAACTGTGAAATTATTTCATGTAACCTGAATCATGAATTTTGAAGTGTGCTTGCACCGCCCTATTCTAGCTTATATGGCTTGAAGAGGGGGGAAATCTATGTTTTTATTCCAATTTGCCCATTTTTTTTATTAGTTTTTAAGATCACTTTAAATGCTTCAGCTAGAGAGGTGTTTGAGTCTAGTGACTATGGAAGCGCTTGAGCAATAAGATGACCTGTAGTGTTACATAATTCTTCCAGCCTGCAGTATTTGGAGATCATTTGCAATTGGTTTAGGTCCACATCGTACCTTCCAGAAGTTACAACTTTGTCTGGAATATTTTGTTTATCCTGAATAGGGCTTAAATTGTTTATTGCTTTCTTAAGGAGGACAGTCAATGTAAAAATACTTTCTTCTAAAGAAAAATAAAAGGAGCTACAGATTTGCAGAATAGGAGGGTGGAACATTTTTTCCTGCTTCTCACTTTTTACTTTTATAATTTTAGAGAGCAAAATAACATTGCGGGAATTGGCTCAAGAGTATTGCGGAGAATTTACAGCTGCTTTTAGTCATTTGAATTGAAGGATTCCTAAAAATTATTCCATTAAAAGTGATGGAATTTTGAAGTTGTAGCTCTTTCCTGTGGCAGAACATTTTTAGTTGCTTGCAGCTTGCTTTGATTTTTATCATTTATTCTAGCTTCTTTAGAGGTCTATGAGTAAATTTCCACGTGTCCTATATGTGATGTATTTTGAGGCATGAAAGGCAGAAATTCCAAAATTTTCTGAGAGGAAGATATTTCTTGTATTTGGACGACCCTTAGCAGGTGAGGAGCGGGTGCCGCTGGGTCGCTGCTCGGGGAACAGTCGTCCTGAATTTGAAGATGAGCTGATGGTAACCAGGTTGTGGTTGGTGGAGCTGGAAATTTTTAACCTGATGTCTGTAAACTCGTTCTGGGCGATGCACAAACCCGGGCCTGTTGGCAGGAGTTTCACCTTACGGAGCGAAGGCCACAGTTTTGCCAGAAGACGCTGGAGGGGACTCAGGGCGCAGGGGTGGGCAGCCGGGTTTCGGTCACACTGCCGGCGCGTGGCACAGCGTGGAGCCAGCCCCCGGCAGGCAGCGTTACGGAGGAATTCTGTCAAATTCAACCAGGTATATTTAAAGCTAACCAGGACAATCAGTCCAAAATAACTCTTCTCCCCGGTGTAAGGGAGCCTGTGTTTCTCATGCTCAAGGTCAAATCACAAGAGGGGGGTGTTTAGCTCGTCGTTTCCCCTTATCTCACCTTTGCTTTGACATCTCGTTGACACTGGAGGAAGGGTGACATGAGTACAAATCAGGCAAGGTTTTGGGGCATGTATGGGGGGTTTGGTGGGAAAAGATGAGAAAATCTTCCTTTTGTTTAGCTAAATACGGTGTATCAGGCAGAACACTTGGTGTGTTCACCTGTGGGTTTAGGGTAGAGCCTGTGTAACTAGAGATCCTCTTTTCAAAACCTTTGTGTCACCTACTGGGAGCTGAATAATTTGTTGGAGCGTTCCGCATTACTTATTGCGTGCCGTGTTATGAATGAGGTTGATCTGCATAACAGCCTTGCCCCACTCGCTGTGAAACTCTACAGATGCCATAAATATAGCAGTGGGTTACTGGAAGAGGAATACTTCTGATAAAAATAGTAGACTGAGATCCAGCTGTCTGCTTTTGCGGCAAAGTTCCCCTGAAACCTGGCAAGGTGTTCAGCCTCTTGACGGTGCGGTTTTACGTCTCTGAGGATGTTCTGTGACTGCCCAAGACCAAGAGGGTCTGTACCCCCCACGGGCCTCGGGGCGCTGCGGTGACACGGCCAGGGGAGCGAGGAGAAGCGAGAGAGGATGTCCAGATCCAGGGGGGTGATTAGATAATACGCAGAAAGTGAGATGAATGAATAATGAAGAGCCAGAAGACAGCGAAGGCCTGATTCGGCTCCATCCACCTGTGCGATGGCTCACGGGAGGTGTTTGCCTGTAAGAGGTTTATCGTCATAACTCTGACCTCTGCGTCCCGGCGTACGTAAGTACTGTTACGGCTCCACAGGTTTCACATTGCTCTTTTCGGTTTTACTGTACACATAGAGTCTGCTTGACAGCGTCTGCAAAGTATTTTATTTAATAGTAGAGTAATATCTATATGGTGCAAGTATTAAAAGAGCATTTAGTTTCTGTTTATGATTGAAGAGCCTATAAGTTGCCAGTGCTCAGAAGGTCCCTGAACTCCTTTAAATGCAGCTTCTACACACGAGTGTGACAACTGGGTGCGGGTAGAAGCAATGCAGAAGAGGTCGTATGCTGGCAAATCTCAGTTGATCTAGAAATTGAACTTGTACCTCTATTTTTGCTGGAATTGATGGCATGGAGTTTTCAAGGTGTTTGTGTAAATGCTTGCCAAACTGAATTTTGCTTCTCTGAATGCTTTTATTTCATTGGAGGCCATTGTTCCTCGGGCCAGGGCTGTGCCATCTCATTGTGCTTTGCCTTTATCCAAAGGAAGAACCAGGTAGAATTCTGTAGATTACAGCTGGTAGAGTGTGGCATAAACATCTGCGCTGAATTTTGGGTCAGAACCTTTTTTCTGATTTTGTTTGGGTTTTTCTGAGGAGCTCTAACTGTTAGTAGAATTTCCAGTTAACATTAATTTATTGAGAAATTAGTTTTAGTGTGTCCTTTTGAAGAGGAGGAAGAAGGGATGTGTTTGTATTAAACTTTAGAGTTTGAAAGAAGGTTCCCAGCGTTTTTTCCCTGTTCTTGTTTATGGGAAAAGGGATTGCACTGTAAAATTGCAAAGAAGCTCGGCTAATTTAGCGCACGGACTGTTAATAGCGTGAAGTCGGGGTGCAGAGTATCAAGGTAAAATTCTCGCATCTGCTGTTACATGTTGTTAACTCCCTTAGCAGACATTAAATCATTTCAAGTACAATAATAGTGTGGGAGGTAAATTAACTAACCATTAACAATCTTATAAATACACAATTAACATGCCAACGTTTATATGACACATTGATGGGGCAGCAGTAATTTTTGATTGGGAGTTTGCAGACCTTCAGAAGCCTGAGGCGGCTGCTTATTCCAACAAGTTCTTACTGCTTGCAGGTAAGCGTGCCCTTTGCCTACAAGCGGTGTGTAAATAATTAAGTTTAAAGAATGTTCTCAGTGCACTTTTTAAAATACTCCTACGCTGTGTACTTGGTTGTGTCTGTATTCTCCAAGTCTCACAACACCAGTCGCGCTGCTCCGGCTTTAACGCGCCAGTTGCAGCCCGGAGACGGTTGCCTTACGGGGGGATATTTGCCTTGCGGCCTCTCACTTTGAGCACGTTGAGAAATCCTTCAGGGAGAGCAGGCCTACTTTCTGCAATGGAAATAGTTGGGAAATAGAAAGTAGGACTTGGAGCGGGAGCGTTGCTGAGGTTGGCAGGGACCTCTGGAGATCGGGTCCCCGCTCTGAGCGGGGACGGGTGAAGCGGCTGCTCGGGGCCGTGTCCGCGTGGGTTTTGAATAGAGTGTGTTTAGCTAGTGGCTGCAAATCCAAAACGCTGTCTGGCTTTGTAAATCCGTTAATTTGAATGGGCAGATGTTTCTTGTGTGTATTTTCTCTCCCTTCTTCTATGTGTAGTACTTGGAATATTTTGGCTGGTGTTAACGATTTGCTGGAGAGTACTGGGACCTGTCTGGAGGTGCCTGTTGTGTTCTGTTGGCTTGCGATTCAGGTTTCAAGCTGTCTTCCAAAACCCCTGTTCTTTAGGTGGGTCTCAGCAGGCAGTGCAACTGTAGTAAACTGGGGCAGAATTAGAATAATTCGCTGTGCAAAGCTGAATCGGGTTTTGTGCATCCAAAATACAAACCTTCTTGAATTGGGGCTTTGGTTGTGGTTTGTTTTCTTGCTAAGATGCCGTGTACATTATATTTCTAGGTATGTGTGTCCGTGAAACAAGATGGAGAGAAGATAGTAGAGTGAAGTGGTGGGCTTGTGGACAGAATGGCTTTCCTGGACAACCCAACAATTATACTTGCTCATATTCGACAGTCGCACGTGACCAGCGATGACACGGGGATGTGTGAAATGGTCCTGATAGATCATGATGTCGACCTGGAGAAGTTTAATCCCTCGTCGACATACGGGGACAGTGGTTCTGAAACCCAGGGGAGCAATGGTGAGACTCAGGGCTATATATATTCCCAATCAGTCGATATTACCTCAAGCTGGGACTTCGGGATTAGAAGACGATCAAACACAGGTAAGTGATGTTTGCAGCCGAGATAACAGTCGCCTTTTAAATTCAGTTTCCATTAGTGTGGCTTGCATGGACAAATCAGAGCGTGACTGGCTAGGTAGCTGTCAAGCTTTTCCTTTTGTAATGTCGAGACTTTTTATAAAAGGACATGTAATGATTCAGTTACTTTAGTGTGCTGTCAGCTGAGTTTTAATTGCTGTTTTTACTTGTTCATGTACAGAGGAACATTGAGGGAGTCAGTTTTATATAAAAAAAAATAATTGAATTGTAAAGACATCAAGTCTCAATCCAGAGTACATGAACAGTCTTTGATATTTCTATTGTTAATGTCTGGAGGGGTGTTAACTTTTGAACAGGATAGTTATTTTTTGAGAAAAATCTACCTAGTGATGCATCAAATCTATTTCTTACAAAAGAGGAATGAAGTTTAATGTGAGCCAGTGAAGTGAACGATGTGTCTGTATTTTGTCTTCTGAAGTTTTATTTCTGGGAAGAACCTTAAGCCAAGATTTTAAGTTGCCAAATGGGAAAGTTTAGGGGTGTATACACCTTTTCAAAATATACTCTGTTTATCTTGATGGGAAGAAAGCTGTCATATTTGTTGTATCAGATGAAGAATATTCAGGCTTATACCTGAGCAATGCTGTGAACAAAAGTTCTGCAAGGTATAGCTGAGAAGATTGCTGTGGGGTGGTTAATACCAATCCCTTTTTTTTTATTTCTTTTCCTGTGTTACAGTACATATTTTTTCCAGATGATTTCTCAAGGTATTATAACACCACCTAGAGCTCAGAAAAAACATCTGTGCTCTACCTAACAAGTGAAATGTTGTATGGTATTGAGTGTCCTGAAATTCCTGTTATAAATAAGAAGTTGTTGAAAGGCGATGACCCCTTGTCGCAGGGGTTCCTGCCGGCGCTGAGCTGAGCGTGCCGCGGCCGCTGGCGGTGGGGCGAGGAGGAGCTCGCTGGGCCGGGCTGCCTGCGCTGCCCTTCGGGCCTTGGGCAGGTCAGTTGATGCTGTGGTTTGTAAGGATTTCGGATTCCAGTCCGTGGCCTATTTTAAAATAATGATTAGGACGCTCAGGCCGTTGGGGAGCTGAGTTTTTGCCCCTTGTCATCTGGCGTGTCTTGTGTTCCGCTGCGTGTGCTGGTACCCGCAGGAGCCAAGTGCGATTATCGAGGCAATCAGGCTGTGATCTGAAAGAGGACAGGGTGGAAAAAAGCCAACAAAGAATGCAAGTTGATTAGTACTGAACCCTTTTCAAAAGTACAGGCAGAGGAATAAATTCAATAGAAAGGTAACCATTTTTAATAAAAATGCTTTTTACATTACACCTAAGTTCTTGGTGGAAGAAGACAGATACTTACCTTGAACATCTCGTAAGTGGAAAAACCCATTCACTGTGAAATCTGCAAATTTTCCTCCTAAAATGGGCAAATGTAAGGACACTTCTTTTTTCCTTAATCCCAAGCTACCTGAGCAGATCTAGGAAGAGCAGAAACATTTGTTCTTTGAAAAGCAGATAATGGGGTTTAGGTTTGGAGAGAGAGTGTGGTGTGGGTTTGTGTATCAACAGGTGATAGTGTCAGGTTCTTTGAACATGCAAGCTCTTTGTATTCTCCTTGGTGTGAAAATGATTTGTCCTTTTACTGTCTCTAATCTTTGGTTTTGGATGGAGTGCAACTTTTTATTATTTTTTGCAAAACTGTTTTATTATGAGATACCTTACCGGGTAAGGTATTTCTACATAAATTGTAGAAATAATGTGTTACTGTGGAATACGCAACACTTCTCTAGAGACTTTGGAAGCGTTGGTTTTTCAGTCGTTCTCATCTGGGAATGCAAATGTGGAAATGAATTTTTTTGTGTGCATTCTAATACCTGAGCTCTCCCCTCGGTTTGCAGGGGGGGTGCCATGGCGGGGCACTGCCCGCGGGGCTGAGGGGGGCGCAGGGTGTCCTGCTGCTGCATTGCTCCTCCTTTCCTGGAGGAGAGAGGTGGGTGTGGGTGGTCTTGGGCTCTGGGCTCCATCTCTTTACTTTTCTGCAAGATCCAGAGGGGTGAAAAAGAACAAGAAAGCTGAGCTGGGTCTGTGCAAGGTGTTGGGTGTGCGGTGCCAGCAGGAAATGCTCCCAGCCTGAGTGACAGAAACAAAGGCTCGTCTAGTGGTTAATGACACAGGAGCTACGTTTGGTCAGTGACATTTTTCACGCAGAAAGCTTTCAAGCTAGCGTGCTTCCTGTGAGAATGAACCTTAAATAATTCAGACTTCTAATAGGTACTGATAATGCCATCTAATCTGGAGTTGCTGTAATGCAGCCCCACAGTAAATGATGGTTTGTGAGCGAGCGCGGGTGGCAGCAGTGAGGGTGGTGACCGCGCTGTAGCACCTCTGTTTTGGCAAGGGGTGAGAAGATCAAATGGAACAAAAACACGCGTTATTCTGAGGTACTTCCTCTCTCCATTGTTAACCTGTGGAGCGGACGGGTGTTTCGTGATGGCCCGTTTGGGATGAAGGGCTTTTGGAAGGTGATTATGAGCTACAGTCTGGACAGTAACTGGAAAAAAATGTTTCTTCTTTCAGAATAGAACATCAGTGCTGCAGTAGTGTGTTACCCGATGTTTAAACTAATAAGCAGGGATACTTCTCTTACTTCGTTAGGAGTGAGATAGGTAGAGGTATTGAGGCACCAACCTTGTGTTGACTTAGATGGGAAATAAGCATCAAAGTCCCTGTTTGGGTTCACACCTTAAACTGCTTCCTGCAGCCGTTAAACCTCAAAGTGTTATTTTTATCATCGGTTCCCAGGTTGGGGGGTTTTGTGGGGGGGAAAAAAAATGAATTCTGTGTCCACAGTTCATTTGGAAGACAAAACGTAAAAGAACAGTAATAGGCAGTATAGAAAATATTTATTGACCTTTTTTAATTGGTGAAATGGCTCAGGGAACTCAAATTGTATCTTAAAAATTGTCAGAATAATTTAGCATTTTAGAATCTCTTCTACAAACCCATTTTAGTTAATGAATGATCTCAATACATCAAAATTGCCGATATATCCAACAAATTGTTTCCGTCAGTGATCAGCATGATTAGTCCTACTTTCCAGTCTCAACCGCTTTCTTCATTTGAGAGAATTAGTAACGTCGGTTCCTTCTTGTGGCCGTGGGAAGCTTCTGCCAGGTTTAGGTGACCATTTCCCGAGAGGCGTTGCTGTTAACAAAAAGATAATTTAAGGCAGACTCTGGTACCCTGCTCCGTAAGTTCTTTGGCACTATGACTGTTTGAGGCTTTTTTCACACCGTGTTTTGAAGATGGAGTCAAAATATACGTAAAGAAATATTATATTCGTTTTAAGATTTGACTAATGTTTTGAAGATACAAATCATTTATTTTACTACCTATAAACTGTTTCAGCACACTGAAGAAAAAGCTATGCTAATTTATATAGCTTTGACATTTTATAATTTTCATGATTTTTAGATAAAGGATTTTATATTTAAAACTTTAATAGTCTAGTCTGAGTTCATTTATCTTTAATTTTTGAAACGGGTAGAGTAATTCATAACAGTAATTTTATTCCTGTAATGTAATATTCACTTCAGTTCATTTGTGCATTAAAATTCCTTTAAGACCGTTATTAATGATTTATATAATGAAATGTCATATTAATCACAGAAGTTTTCACATTTTATTATTCTCTTCCATGTTAATACTATCTTTATGATCTCTATTAATGTTTTATATCCTCTAATTTCAATTATAAATCAAGAACATTTTCATGTTTTTGTTGGTATTTGCTTTTCAGGGGTGCCACCTTTAAAATTTTATGACTTTTTCCTCTGCATATGCAGTATAAAACATCTTTATTCATATAAAGGTAGTTAATTATGTCTTTGTTTATAGTAAACTTTCATTGACAAACTTATAACTATAATATTTCTTTTCAAGCTCAGAGACTAGAACGTCTGCGGAAAGAGAGACAAAATCAAATAAAATGCAAAAATGTTCAGTGGAAAGACAGAAATACTTCTTACTCAGGTAAAAATAAAAGATCTTCTCATTTCCTGCTAAAAAAAGCTGATTTTATTTCTGGTTTTGATGGTTACAGTATTTTTGGTTTGTAGTTTTCCCTTAAACTTTCCAAGCGTAGAGGAAATACTAATTAGTGTATTTGCCCTCTGTCCCCCAGGTGGGTGTCCCCCAGCCTTTTTTGCCAGCGGGTGCCACGGGCACCTCGCTTGTTTTCAGCTGTGACCAGGGTGTTCCACATTATTAACAACGGCCAAGTAAATAGAAAAATGTTTAAAGCCCGGTTTGTTGCTCTGAACTAAGTCGAGTGGCCGCCTTTTTTTTTTTTTCTTATCTTTGTTTCCTCTTTGTTTGCCATGTAAGGTCTCAGTGCAGTGTTCACGTACTCCGGCCGCTCGTAGCGCCGTTACCTCCCGAGGCTTCTGCCGTCCCCGAGAGCCGGGACGGGCAATAGCGACCGTTGGCGATGCCGCCGGGAGCGGGACGTGCCGGGCGCCCTGGGCAGGGACAGGCAGCGCCCGCGGTCACGCTGTGGAGGCGTTACCCCCGCGGAAGCTTTGCCACCTAACCCCCGGGGCGTTTGGAGCGCCCAGCACGACGAAGAATTTTGTGGAGTTTGCGCTTATAGAATGTTCTTGTGGTTGCTTTTCTACATGAGGGGAAAATGTTAAGAAATAACGTGCGTATGTGATCTACTTCAATGAAAGCATTACAAATGCTGCCCTAGCTTATGTAGCCTTTCCTTGGAAGAACTGTTATCACTAATTTCTCCAAAAAAAGGCTCTTTTTTTTTTTTTTTTAGATATGTTCTTCGTAGGTTAAATTGCAATATATTAAGTGAAAAATCTGTCTCAGTTCCCGTATTTTATAGCTCAAGCTAGTATCTAGTGCTGTTGTGTTTGACAGACATTGAAACCTGCTTCTTTCATGCCTGCTTCTGTCATGCCTGCTTCTTTCAAAATTTGCGTGTAGCTTAATGAGGTCCCTGCGTAATCTCTTTTTTTTTTTCGCTTAAATCCTTGTATCTTCCTGGCTGTCCTTTGCAGAACCTTCTCCAGCTCTATAATATCTTTTTTAGAGGAGTGAACAAAGCTGCTCACGTGAGCCACATGGTCGCACTAATCCTCAGTACAGTGCTCAGCTACGTTTGATATCTCTGTTAATGCATTGTAAAATGTTTTTGCCTTTCTACTTCTGCAAGCCAAGTTGTAGGTTTTAAAGTTTAATCTCCCATAACCTCCAACTCTCTGCTCGATAGTTTATAGCGCTTGGCCAGAGATGATGCAATTCTGATTTTCTTCTTTTTCGCTAACTCGCTACTGCTTGGTTTTTCTTTACTCTGAATTGCACTCGCACTCCAGTTTCCTGCCGTGTCTCTTCTGTTTGTGTTATCTTGCTCATGTGGGCTCCACCGTGGCGTTTTGTTCCTTTCACGTGCTGCCCGAACGTTAGCCGTACTCCGTCAGCCAGCCGTCACAGAGGTGTCCCCCGGTAAGGATGCGCTGGGGCTGGCAGGCAGGTAGATCAGTGCCTCCCTGCTGCAGAACAAATTTAAATAAAAAATAAGTTACATAAAAACTGGAGGCCCTCGCTATCTCTCCTTATTGCCAGAGCTGCTTTTCCTTCTCTGCTTAGTCACCGAGATGCTGCCTGTTTCTCACTTGCTTGCATGAGCAACATGGGAGGCAGAGGCCGGGAAAAAGAGGAGTCCTGAGGGATGTACCCGCTGTATCCTCTTTGTTGAGTGTGTGTGTCTGAGGCTTTGTTCTGCTCCCCGAGTTTAACACGATTGGAAAATATTTGCGAAAGCACTAATGGAAATAGCTGCTGCCGTATGGGGGAATTTGGCTGCCCTCTTCCGACTGCCTTTATCTGAGCTCTAGACAAAGGCGAGCCCGTGGCTGGAGTTCTGCCCCGAGCCCCCACCTCCAGAGACCACTCGCGCCGCGCCGGGAGCCTCACTGCAGAGAGAAACTGCCCAGGCGTTTCTGTCAGCCTGTGCTTGATCTGGGATCATCGTCTGAGGCATCTGGGAACTGGTATTTTTTGTGATCCCCATTTTTAATTACTGCGTACAGAAATGAATGTGTGCTAAACCAGCATAAAGGGAAGTGAGAGACGGGTAATTCTGTGTGCGGTACTGAGAAGAAAAAGAGTATTTTCTACTTGTCATCTCTTTGCCCAGTGTCGTGAGACAAGCTGTTTGCTTTGTCAGGAGTGAGTCTGAAAGATACGGTGGCAGTCGGGTATGGTCTTGGAAAGGAAAATCTCTGCGTTTGGAGTTGACTGGGGCATTCACAGGCACAAAGGTGCCTCCGGGGTAGCTGGGTGGGGGTGACGTGTGACGCTGGGCAGCTCTGGTGTTCCTGTGCTGCCGTGCCACCAGCTCGCCTCGCCTTGCTGAGCTTCAGCCCTTTTCGGTAAAATGAAAAGAACGCTTCAGCCTCGTGGAGCGTAGAGATCAAGTCGTGCTAGTAAAGCAGTCTGTGGGTCCTATAAAGCAAATACGGATACGCATACAGAAGGTTACTCCTTTTTTAAAGTACCAGGTATTTTTAGATGAAAGGGAGAAATAAGCCATTGTATTTACATCTTACATTCATTCACTTCAGAGCCTGTAAAGTGTAAATTAGCAATATATCGAGGGAATCTTTCAAAAGCCTTGCATTCAGCCCACATAGAATAGCTCATATAGCTAACAAACCCACAAAAGCTGAAAAACACCTACTAATGTATACTAATTAATATACTAATGTATACTAATACATACTACAGACTAATGGCAAAACTTAGCTTTAACTAAAAATTACGCTATTAAAGCTAGTTTAATGTAAAACCATAAGCTGTGTTTTACCTGAAATGTGACAATTCAAAATTATTTTACTCAGTGTTTTCAGCTGGAACTCTCACAGCCCAGGTCTATTAGGAATTATTTGACAAAACACTCGGTGGGAGATGGTGGTTTTTCAGAAATCTCATCTATCTTCTAGCTTTTTGCACATATCTTCAGAAGATTTTGGGTTCCTCTTCCTAAATGAATTGAATTTTTCTGAAATGATGACATTTTTGGAAAAGGAGAACCGTATCTCAGGCAGCAGAATGTATGGTCTGATGGAATGTGCTGTTACTTAAACTCCTCAGTCATGCGAGATACTTGAGTAAAAGCTGTACAAAACTCAAAGCAAAACAGAAGTTGCACTAGTGAATTCAGAAGAATTCTTGAGATTGTCTTTTTGCGCATCCCAACAAAGGAAACAATACACAAATAATCTTAACATTTCCCTAGGGACAAAACCTGAAGATAAAAGACTTGCTTTTTCACTTGAACCAATTAAACCATTATATCGGATTCCAAGGTACAGAATGCTTTCTAAATGCCCAAGAAGTACTCTAGCATAATTATAATTGGGATTATTATTTTTTTTAAGAAACAGAGATAAGTTTGTTATAGAAACCAGAATGCCTAATGGGGTTTAAGTTGCCGCATTTAAAAAGCATTTAATCAAGCTTTTTTGGTTAATCGCAGCCTCTCACAAGACTGTTGGGTATCTCCTAGTGCCAGTATTTAGCACTTTTGCCAACTGTCTGCATTTTCAGGCAATCTGCTGATAAAAATAAATGGAGCTTTTGACTAGTTACAGTTTGACAAGTTTTAATTTTGCATTTTAAGAAATTAACCAACTCCCTGCAGATCGAGCCCCAAGTCGTTCTGCCTTGGGAGCGGTTTCATTTCCCTGGAGGAGCAACGTGTAAATCTTGGAGATGAGGGAGAATCCAGGTGTAGGAACGCGGAGCAGAGCAGAGTCAGTCCAGGAGAGCTGCTGGTGGCTCTCGGGTAGTGATTGATGGAGTGTGGGGGCACTTGGTTCCTAGAGCAGATGTGGAAAAAACTCGTCCAGATTCAGTCACAGTTTCTTGCAGATGAGCCCCGTTGGTACTAATATGCTGAAACACCCCAGGCTCTGTCCTGATTTTGTAGTGTCCTCATAACATAAGCCCTGTTTTTATTTTTTTTTAAACTTGTCTGTAAATTTTGAGTTAAACAGTTACTGGAAATTCAGGTGTGCGGTTTCTTCATCTAAAAAGAACTGCTTGTCAGAGGCTTTTTTGAGCCTTCGCAGACCACACAAAGACGTCGCTAACTCGTATCACCTTGGGTTTTAGAAAGCTTGTTGTTTTTTTTTTTTTGATCCAGACTGTTTGTCTGGAAGGATATTTTCAGGTTTGACTTTTTTTTGAGAGGAGACCATATCCAGTGTACCATGAGAAGTAAAAATCTGAAGAAATCATTCTTTTGGATCGGATGTATTCTCAGGCCTACCGCTGTCAGCACAGTGACATTGTAGTGTAGTCACGGGGTAGTATAAAATTGTCCTGTAATATAGTGTAATATCGTGTATTACAAGCTCAGTGTGAAATGCTCTTGCATGGCGCATTGTAGACGTGTCAACAGTTTTTTGCATAGCATTTACTGTTCGTTTAGGAAAAGGCAGGCAAGCAGAAAGACCGGGAACACAGAATTCTCTCTTTGAATCTTGATTTTTATCTTGACTGACGTGGAGCTTGTAGTGATCAGTTCCACTCTCTGTATGGGAAAAAATTCACCTTTTCTCAGCCTAAACAGCAGCATCGTTCAAGCTTCTTATGTGGTCATGTCTTTGGGCTATGAAAGAGTAATGGTGGCTTCCGCCCTGCTAAGGCATTTGTTGGGTTATATATTTGATTTTGTTCTCCCTCTTAAAGTGTTATCTTTCTGTGGTAAACAGCAGCCTCTGTACGTCTCCTAGTACAACCACTCTAATCTCTTTTCTGATCTACAGCAGAGGAGCTGAGCTCACTGTTTGAAAAAAAGAATTTCAGAGTAAAATCTCCGTGTTCTGGGAAGCAGTCAATACTGTCTGTGCGGCTCGAGCAGTGTCCGCTGCAGCTGAATAACCCCTTCAATGAGTACTCCAAGTTTGACGGCAAGGTAAGTGGACCAGATGTTTTTCTCTGAGAACCAGAGGTCCTGTCCTGAAGATGACGGGTCTTAGGCAGTTCTTGGGTGCATTTACCTGAAGAAGATTTAATTAGACTTTATAGTAGGTCATTGGTATTTTAAAGCAGTTATCTAGAAACATGCTTCTCCTGGGCTCAAAGATGACGGTTCCAGGTTCAAGTTTTCAGTACAAAGGTATGGCCTTGCCACTCAGCGTACCTCACCTTGCTCTTTTCCTCTCTAGCAGGTTAGCTAGGTAACATTTAGTGTGGCAGAGTCCTGGGACACCTCTCTCTCGAGTTGATGGTGAGACCGGTTGTATAAATGATGGGCTGTTTGGCATTCAAAAAGAAAATATCTGTTCTGTGCCACATGGCAGCACTGGCTGAGTATTCCATGATTCATATTGTCTTTATCCTCAAAATGCTCCACCGAGAGAAGGAAAAGCCACTGTGTGGTTTGAGGGTGCAAAGATGAGGCACCAATAGGTCGATCTCTGGGGCACGGAAAGGACTGAAGGAAGGAGTTCTGCCCAGGCGTTCGTTTGTGCAGTGCTGGAGGCAGGTTCACTACTAACCTGGTAGGTCCAACTCATTCCTTGCCGCTCTTCTTTCTGTCGCTTGCATTCACTATTGCTCAGAACCGTGGGTAGCACCAGAGTTACTCTGTATTGACAGGTATTTTTCTCTGTCATCAACTCTAGCAGCTGTAATCCAAACATTGGGGTGCTGGATCGGTGTCAGTGTTCCAAAACAATTATAAATACTGCGCAGATCTGTTTTCTGCTGGATTTGTTTGTGGAGTCTCCTGTGGGAGTATGAAGTTTGAGCTTCATTACCGTTGTGATGGAAGAATTTCATATTCTGTTAAGTATTCTTGAAGTGGAAAGCCGGATACGTAATTCCACTCACGTATCTCGAAGCATTTAGAATATCTGTGAAACGGTGACTTTTAGGCTATGAAGTCCATGCAGCACAAACTGCCTCTGTTGTTATGTTATGCTTACGAGTGTGTCATGGTTAGTGCTAACTCCGTTTTTCAAAATTTCTGGCCTCATGAATAAATGACAGGAGCCCTTTAGCGCTGACAACACTGTGATGCTGTTCTTCTGAACTCCAAGCCTCTTGTTCATCAAGAGGGATTTATTGTGGTTCGGTGGTGTCCCACTCCTCTGGTTTTAATACCTGAGTGCGATTTCCGCTGCCTGCTGCAATTTTTCTCAGAACCTTGACCAACTTAAGCACGTTTCCTTCCCACTTGGATAATCTGGACTATTTTTTACAGTGCTAATAGGAATTATATTTGACTGTAATGAACATCGTAGTTTTCATATTTTCAAGTCCGATACATTTAGCAGGTGTTTGGTGTGTTTGAAGGCGGTTGTACTACACGTATTAGTTTGAGATATTAATGAAATATCTCAATGTTACTCAGTTATGATTTGTAGAGTATGATACAAATCAACTCGATTGTGATCTAGAAATCAAAAATACCTTTTTAACTCTCCAGAATAACTGATCTGGCGTTTTGCTAAGAGTATAATCTGACTGTATTAATTTTAACCACACCGACAAATTTATCAGGGTAATATAAGCAATATATTTTTTTTCTCTGTACTTCCCTGTGTATTTACCATTGTGTATGGTTTTTAGATACCTACCTGACCATCTGAGATACAGAAGAAACATTGTCGTTCAGTAGCAAATTGTTTTACTTTCTTCAGTTTTGTTCTATTTTCAGGTGGTAATGTAAAATCAAAAACGGTCTAGCTTTTAAAAATAATTTAAAACGAAATATTGTAGGTCTTGTATTTATTTTTATTGATAATAGATGAGCAGTATTTTTCACACAAATGCAGTTCTTTCAGGGAATAGTGCCTGACTTATTTACATAATTAACAGAGCCACATATCTCTTGGGGAAGTGGCCCATAAATGGGGAGAGGCAGGGGGGATGAGGAGGGGCTAGGGGCCTAATTAAACATGTCTTAAAAAAACCCTACTTAATTATGTATTTACCCGAGGGATCACAGTGGCTCTGAAATCTTTAAGATTATAGCTGGGCCTTTGGTTTAGGTATTTATAGTCGAGTTTTGTAACGCAGCGTGTTGGGCAGCGCCCGCCGGGCGGCAGAGCGCGAGGAGGAGCAGGAGCGCTCGCTGGCCCTTGCTCGAAGCTCTTTGTTCCAGCGTGCGCCCGGTTGTGACTCGCCACTACTTCAGCTCCTTAACTGGCCTGAAATCGAATAAACCCTTCCTCTTCGGGGTCCGCCCTCCCCTCCCTTCCGATGTTTTCTGTGTAGCCGTGAGCTAACCGCTTAGGAATAAGACGACGTTGCATGCCATAATACCACCCCCGCCGATTTATTGAAATGCTTACATCTCGCAGGCGCTTCCTGCCAGATTTAGTGTCCTTTTCATAACCACTTCTGCAATTTTATGAAATAATAAAATTTTAAAGTGCTCTTAATTTCTTCTTGTTCTGATCAGTTGGTTAATTATCAAAATAGTCAAGAATATGACTCGCGAAAGGGAACGGCAGTGGAGGCCTTCTGGCTGGCTCAGGCGTTCGGGTGAGCCTTGCCCCGCAGCTGCGCGGGACAGATCTGTGCCTTTCACCGACGTTGTAAAACTTCAGCTCTTGACAAGAGACACACAGAGTAACTGCTCTTGGCCATATCTTCCAGTTTTTCCTCAAAGTAGTTAAAGTTAACCTAACCCCTGTGTCTGTTTATATCACGAGGTGTACATCTTGATTAATAAATCTCGAAAACGCTTGCTAAGAATGTTGTATAAAAAACCCCTTTAGTTATTTATAACTACTTCCGTTGCCATTTGTACAGAAAATTAGCTGAAGGCTTAAGAAATCGGTGGCCAAATTTATTTCCTATATCTGCTTACAAATCAAGTTATCAACCATTTTATAGGTAAGTTCATTTATATTTCTGTTTACAGAATTCAAAAAATCCAATTTTGATGGCTTGTTGTTCCAACTTGCCGACTTGTGATAAGGTTGGGAGAATAAGCCTGGTGGTGAGGCAGAGCTGAAAGCTGTTCCTAGGCAGGTGCCGCCAGTGGAACTCGAGAGTGTTGCAGTGGCTCGTTTCTGTGACACAAGTGCAAGGTCCCCAACATTCAGTTTACTTACACATTACCTGCCTGCTTTCATTAATTGTTTTAAAAGCATGTGTTATTCTGAATTTCTGTAGAATTAAAAGACATTTCTTTTCAAATCCCAAGTGTAGCATGCATGAGTTGCTGGAAAGCATGGCAACGAGTTTTCTCAGGGCTGAGGATACTGATTTAGAGCAGTACTTGCCTCAAGGCTATCCAATTGCCTGCCCGTTCCCGCTGTAAGAGTGTTACCAAGATGTATTTAGTGACTGCAGTAGAGGAAAATCATGCTAGAATGCCACGTTCAGCTTTGGAGGAGCTCCTGCTACAGCCTCTGCTTAGAGTTCCCTTGAAATCGTCTCTTGAAGCCAGCCCACATCCATTTTTCTTCCAAGTCTCTGCTACTTCTAAGAAATTTTAATCACTAAATGGTCTTGTCGATTCAATTTTTGAAACGCCTGCCAGCAAGAGGCTGCTCCAACATCCCCAGAAGAATGTTAGCAAACAGAGAAACATTATGGGACGGCCAAAAAAGGAGATACTGAAGAGATGCAGAATAGTCAAAGAAAGCTGCAGCCAAAATGTAAGGAAGGGATCGTTCAGCTCTAGAATAAACTTGAGTTTCAAGGCCCAAAACCTTGCCTACACGCCAACCAGAGTTTTCTCAATATATTTGTATTTTCATGACTTCCAGTTGAAAATGAAGATCTAAGGAAGTCTGGCTTTTCTGACCATATATGGGTTTTGTGGGTTTGACTACTAAAGGTAATTTAAATAAAAATAGGACAATGTTGTTTTTAGCTATATGGATGATAAAAATTGTATTGCAAGGAGTGGTACCTCTATGTAAGGTTTCTTGTGGCTGATTTTTGTGATGGGTTAAAGAACAACAATTTCTTTGGTAGCAACTGTTTTAAAAATGATGCTGTGGAAAGCGTGGGGGAAGGGATAATTCATGAGTGCTAATTGCTTGGCTGTTAATTTTCATAAGTGTTGATAGAAGCAGTTCCTTAAATTAAACTTTGTTTAAAACGTATCAGGGGAAATATTCCACAATGTCGGGCCTGAAGTGAAAATTAATATGAATGCTGTGGCAATTAACACGTACTGGTTAATAGCTTTTAGCAGCATTTTGGGATGATAGTCCTTAAATACATTTTTGCATGCTGCTCTTGTTTCAGTCTTGTTTGACTGTATGTCTGGATAATCATGAACAAATGTTTTCCACAATCTCCAGTATTAAATAGCTTTACTCAAAGAGAGTAGATAAAGAACTCAAGAAAGAAGCAATACTGCTTTAATTAATATGGAAAATGTCTAAAATAATTAATCCAGGATTAAAATCTCAGTGTGGAAAAATGTATTTTTTAATCTAAATGTTTTGCCTCTAAGCTGAGTAGAACGATCCTCATCTGAATCCTAAATCAGTTTGTGGCATTTGAGGTTTGGGGGTTTTTAAACATTTGCTTATTCTGCCAGTTCGAGTGGTTTGCATACTATCTCCATTACAATAATCAAAATAGAGATGTTTATGGCGTTACCATTTGTGTGATGTGCCATGTACGCTGACACACGTGTGACAGAACCGCGGGGTCGGTGTCTGTGCCGACCAGCCTTCTGCTGCGGCTGCAGCGGAGCTGAAGAAGGGCCGGGAACGCGGACGGCTTCGCGCTCTGCCCCCCCCGGCTGGCAGCCCCTGCCAGAGCCCCCACCTTTGGGAGAGACCTCCCTGTGACGCCGGGGACCGCTGGGCAGTCGGGGTGTTGGCAGGGACGCAGGGCTCCACGACGCGCTCTCCGGAGGGCGCATCACCTGCTCTGCGGGTGATTCTGGGAACACTTTTGTTACGATGAAGATTCTTAAATGAAAAATTGCCACTTTCTAAAATAACTTTTCTTTCACAACAGGGGATTAACGCGAGTCGTGCTGACAGCTGAGCTGTGTTTAAATAAAACGCTCCTGTGTTAAATGCCTGGTGTGTTCCCTGCTGGGCCAAAGCCGTGCGGGTTTTGCCCCTGGTCCGTGCCCTTGGCTGTCTCCCCTGGCCCTGCAGCCCCGCTGGGTTTGGGGCGCGGT